TTTCACTCAAGTCTTAGTACTTTAATTAATGATTTACAGTTACTGGAATTTATTATATACAGTGTACCGGGCACTATTCATTCTTGGTTCTGGTCAGGAATTTAAAGCTTATAATTTTTTAAGACGATACACAGAGAAAGAAAATATAGTCAAAACTACCTGTATATGGTAAAATTTACTGGATCTGCGGGTGTATGAGAACAATAAAAAGCTCGGTAATTTTTACCACTTTGGTAGTAATGATTTTTTTAAAAAAATAACAATAAAATATGGTTTTACTACATGAGATTGCATTTATACAAATACTTGATCTTGCCTAATTCAGAATTATTTCAGTTTTTTTAAACTTGTAATTCGTTTTTTTCCAAAACTACAGACTTTTTAAGTGACGTTTTTTGTTGTACTAGACAAATAACAGAGAGTAGCATAGTTATTGCGACTAAGTTCTAGTAGAGTTGGGAGATATTATCAGGATCAAAATTTCATAAGAACCCATACCTGGAAATGTCATACGCCACAAGATGTGCTTATTTATCCTAAATTATTCCGTTTCATGCTTTTGAAGAGACCATAATAGGGCCCCTAGCTGTGCTCCAACTTCTCTAGTTTGTCTCGCCATTTTCGTGATACCTTGTTATATAAACTTCTACATTTCGTCAAAAAATAGACTTTAAAATGTTATTTTTTTTTAAAAAAATCTGTAGCTTTATTAGCAAAAATAACTTAAGATTTGAAATTCACACACCCGATTTAGGAAAGATCAGGTATTTATTTGAATATAACACAAAAAAATTATTCCTCAATTCTATCAATATTATCGATAAAGTTATAAAAAGACATTCTTTTTAACAAACGAATCATATACTTAATGAAACTTCCAGTTTCAACATTTTCACTTTAGAAGTGTAGACATAAAGAATTATCAAAATAGAACATTACTTTAAAAACACGTAAAAAAAGTTCCCAAGTTAGTCGATGAAAAAAATATACTTAAGCGCCATAATATTATAAAAATAAAGATTTTGTTTAAAAATAACTTGAAGTGATTTTTTTTTGTTGATAAAGTGGATATTTAACGCACCCGTATATATCGAGAGTGGTTTTGCATTTCATCACAAGCTTATTATCTCAACGGCACAATATTTTTAAAATATGAAATGCACATGGTGAAATGCTGTTTCAAATCCACACTGATGACAGCATTTATATCCTTTTAAAAAAATTGGAGCTAGAATTTTTTCTTCTTCTTGTACTTATTCTTATGTTTTTTTTATTATATTTTTAATTCATTAATTTGTTTTAAACTAAAAATATCTACTGAAAAACTACTAATCTAGTGGGCCGTAGTATTTTTGGGTTTCGCTTTATTAAAAAAAAGAAGCTTGTATTTTTCTAAGAGTTGGCTGAGTAAATTTGGCACTGTCTGCTACACTTAAGGTTTTTCGAACTGAGTTAAAGATTGCTTTTAAGTAGATTGACGTTTACTGCAATAGTACTGCATGGTCATTTCATCCACAAGGTCATTTCATCGACAGGGTCATTTCGTCGACAGGGTCATTTCGTCGACAAGTCATTTAGTCGACGGGGTCATTTTGTCGACAGGGTCATTTCGTTAATAGTGTCATGCGTAATTCTGAAACCATTTTAGAGATTTAATATAAATATTTCTATTATTAATTAGAAAAATACACTTATTTAATTTTATACTATAGTAAAATTCTTTATGGCTGTCTATTGTTCCAATTGCACTAAAAGAAGTTCGCTTTTTAAATTAATTAATAGGTAGTTGAGAAGCGTTTAAACGGTTGATGTATCGAAATCTACTTTTCTATATCTAAATCATAATAGCTCGACACTTATTTTCAGGATAGGTAAGGATTGTCTTCAGAACATTACCAAGCATGATATCCGGACCGTGGTCAACAGTTAATATAGTGGGACGTTAATAATCAAATTGTTTTTAATATCAAATGAAATTAATAAAATATATTTTTAGAATTAAAAGCAATAAAAATATATTACAATGAAAATTTAGACACTATTTCAAGGAGGGGAAAGCTAAATTTATTGCAGTAAAAATTTTACATAAATTTTAACAAAAACATAGACATCAGTCGAATTGTCACAGAAAGAAAAATAATCATAGACCTAATTATTATATCTGCAAAAGTAGGAAAAAAAATTCTAGGTTTTTTATGATGGAAAAGTAATTTCTTAATGTTCACTTTAATTGCAATTTTAAACTTTTTGTTCAGCATTTTTAACATTAGGACAGGAATGTGCTTATTCGAACAATCGAATTGAGTCTTAGTTTCGTTACTACTATTAGAGATTTCGAAGAACAATAGGAACACAAACTTGATGTTTAGGTATTTACCGAGGCGGTTGTAGATTCCCACAATATTTAAAGTGCTACTCACCTTACCAAAATTGTTTAGAAGCACGTGCGTAACGTTGCAAGCGTGTTAGTGTTTGCTCTTCACAAAATATGTTTTTTCTATGATTCATAGAACAATTGAACAATTAATACTATTATTGAATTGAACAATTAATACTATTATTAAATTCACTATTCATAGACTATGAATAGTGAATTTAACAATAGTATTAATTGTTCAATTCTAATCTAAGCAGCATAGCTGACAAACATATGAGGAAGTGGATTAGAACAAAAATTTTTATCAACATTATTTCCCAATATGTTTTCCAAGTTGGATTTTCATTTTATATTTCCCCTCATGCATTTTTTTCCCAAGATTTTTATAATACTAGGAAGTTCAGCCCGTTGCTGACTTCGCTCGCCAACCTTCGTAATAGCCACTCATACAACTTAGTTTGTTTTTTTCCTATATCGATCTTTTTTTTAAAGAGAAAATATTTAAATATTGAAATTTCATGTAAGAAAATGCTTGTAAGAAAGCTTGAAAAAAATAAGTATCTAAACACCAGGAATATATAAATTTTTGATAAAACAAGAAGTAATCTTACTAGCTAACTGTCTAAAAGATTTGTGTTTTTCGGATGAAACTCTTTGTAAACATCACCAGCAAAAGTTTGTTCCTTTTCTTTCTCTCTTTTTGGACAAGATTTTAAACTGTATTAATGCGTTTTACTCATTGCGAGGGAACGTTATATAAGTATAATTTTCTTTTTATCGACAGAAAATTTTTGCAGCTGAAATGACCTGTTACCGAAATGACCTTGTCATTGAAATTACCTATCGACCACATGGTTTCATTATCTCACAGATTTATTATATACCGTCTTTTTTTCCTTCCTAATTTCACCCGTCATTCACTCCCTACATCAAGAATCATTCACGTCACAATAGTTGTTGCAATTGCTTTTGCGATGATAATCTACAATAATATACATTAAAAATTAATCTTAGAAACAAATGTGTTAAATATGACTAGAAAAAAATTGTGTAATATACAACTTAAATCTGTAAAATACAATTAATGATTCGTTTTTGAAACGTGATGTGAATAGAGGTATAGGCAATTTTCAAATAAAATGCTTTTTTATGACTTGTCGATGAAATGATCCTGTCGACAAAATACCCTGTCGACGAAATGACCCTATCGACTAAATGACTTGTCGACGAAATGACCCTGTCGACGAAATGACCCTGTCGACTAAATGACCCTGTCGAAGAAATGACTTGTCGATGAAATGGCCTGTCGACGAATTAACCCTGGCGAGGAAACAGCCTATCGATGAAATGAGCTAGTCGATGAAACGGCCTGTCGATGAAGTGATTGTCGATGAAATGAATATACTGATAAGTATTGCGACCCCTCTTAATTTTGTCCACCAGTGTAGTATACTAGATGTTACTTCTAGCGCACCTAAATTTAAGGGGTAAAAATATTAGCAAAAACTACCAATTTTTGCACTAGTAACTTCAAAAATATTATATTTTCCTTAAAAATAGAGCCCCTTAATAGTGTTATTCTCCAGCACAATTGTAATATTACTTCTAGCTTTCTAACCTTATACTTTAGCTAGCTAATAGAATGGTCTTCTGTTTTTTTTTAGATCACCTTTTTCCCGTAAAAATGGCACAGATTTCAGTAAATTTCAACCAAAATCTAGATTTGAAAGCTCTAACATATTCAGAACTTTGTACACAACAATTGCCTGTAGGAAACGGCTTCATATCAGAATCATTCCCTGGAAGTATAGATTTGTATAAAGGAAAACCAGTAACATTGGTAATCAGAGAAGATTTTCAAGATTTTCTTTTACCACTAGAAGAAAATCTTATGACAGCGAATTTTCCTATAGTTGAAGCGCCAGATTTCGATAGTGAAAACGAAGTCCAGCATGCTTTTCGCTGCAATGTTCTATCGCCCATTAGGCAGATCTTGAACAAAAGTTTTAAAATAAAGGGTGAAAAGCCCATAGTAGGTGGTGGAAAACCTGACTTCACTCTTCTTGATTTGGATGGATTACCATTTCTTGTTGTTGAAGCGAAACCTTGGAATTCATTTATTAGTCGAAGCCGAATTTACCTGGAACAACAGCAGATAAGTTTTCAGGATATTGCTACGTGTGTTGAAACACCAGGAGGTTCCATAGATTCCCCAAGGAAAGAAACTGAAGAAGATGGCCAGTTTCACTGGAAATTGGGTATGCGCCAGTTGAAATATTATTTACATGACATGAGAGTCAAACAGGCTTTCGGTGTTTTAACATCGTATTGCCATTCTTATTTTGTCATTTTACAGAGGAGAGAACATGATAATTTATTCATAGTTTCCCCGGCAGTTAAATTCTGTGATCCTGATCCCCTGAAAAAAATAACTGAATTCATAAACAAAGCATACCACTGTGAGAGAATTAATGTGCTGTCAGAGCTCTCTGTTCAAATTTCTCCTATCAAAACTAGAAGTGGTGTTGCATATGGAAAACAGGAAAGAAATTCGCAAAAGAGAACTTGGAATGAGGAAGAAAAGGAAGTGGATACAAAAAAAATGTCTAAAAACAATGACAATAATCAACTGTGCTGTAATCGTTTCAATATAACAGATTTTATAGCAGAAGGCAGGCATGGAAGTGTTTTCAAAATTTTAAACTTCCAGAATCTCCCATTTGTAGCCAAATGCCTTCCGGATAAGTGCAATGAAGATATAATCAGGGAATTTAAAAATGAAATTTTCATATATGAGAAACTTAAAAACCTGCAAGGTATAGTTGTACCAAAATTTCATTTCAATGGACGGATAGACGGATGGAGAGATGCTATAATTATAGAACAACTTCAAGCCGCTCCAATAAGTAAATTTGACTACCTAACTAAGAAAGATAAACTGGCCATTACTGTCTCTTTGAAGCAGATACACAATGAAGGAATAATCCACGGAGACATTAGAAGAGAAAATATTATGATCAACCAAAGTAAAGCTTACTTCGTTGATTTCGCACTGTCACGTGAAGGTAGTTCCGAGGATTTTAAAAATGAAATGATACAACTATGGGCTCTTTTAAACGAGTTATAATAATCTCGTAAAATTGTATTTTTTTTAAAAAAAAAAAAAAAACTTTTTGACTTTAACAGGTATATTTTATTGCTGTGTTATACAAAATGATTTTAATAAGTAATAGGACCCACGTGAAAATTTTTCACTGGTGATCATCTTGGAATTATTTTGTGTAGAATATGAAGTAATTTCGAATTTTTTTGCACATAGTTTTATTACGAATAGTTCAAAATGACATTGAACAGCTCCTGGTTATTATCGAACAGTTCTATAAATTTTCTCGAGAAGACTCTTGAAACAACTATAGTTGATCTCTTTAAAGTATTCTAAAAAGAAAATTTTGCTTAGATTTTATTTTATGAACTAGGCACAGCTATAAAAAGATGGACAGAGTGTAAAAACTTCTCTTTTAAAATTGTGCATCATCGTTATAAGAAGATATCTGCGTAGCTGTTTGATGAAAAAACCGAATTACGAATCTGGAAATATTATTGAAGAAATGTGTTTGAATAAGTAAAGAAATAGTTGTAAAGTGCATCATCTAGTTATCAATTTATCAATAGTTGTGCATCATCTGTAATTTTTCCTCATTTATGAATTGTTTAGTGATGATCATCTTTTATAGACTAGAATTCTTGTAACACATCGACTAAGTGTCTTGCCAGAGGTAGATACAATAGTAGTTCTTCAAAATGGCAAAGTTTCTGAGATAGGCTTATACAGTGAACTTTTAGCAAAGAAAGGAGCTTTTGCTCATTCATTATTTACAAGAAAATGCTGAAGAAGCTGTTGAGGAAATGCCACTTGATGAATTGAATTTAATGCAAGAAATAGCTGCTACTATAGGAGCACCACCTGAAGTTACAAGGTATATGAATCTCTTTGCTGTAGAAGTTTATACATAAGGACTATATATGTAGTTCCTTTTTTCTTTCTTTCTTTTGCCTTTAAAGATAACTTTATCGAAAAAAAATCATGATTTTCTGGAATAAATATGTCTGTTAGTTATTTTGATATAATTTGTTTTTCATATAGTTGGCTCAAAGCTTAAAATGTATAATTTATTTTTAAAATGTTTTTTTTTTTTGTTACTTAAGAAAGGTTTTTAGAAACTTATGATTTCATAAAAAAATTTTTAATTCAAAAGAATCCATAAAAAGAAAAATTTTAATTCAATAAAGTCACACATTGCTAATTTTCATTCAGCTATATATGAAATAAATCTCACTTAACTAAGGTCATAGCTTTTTGCAATAACTTTGCTGAAAACATGTCTTCCCCTAAATTATTTAGCCATCATATCAAAAAATATCACACATGATCGTTTTAATGCTTCATCTGTTCATCAAAATCAATCACAGTATTTTTTTACTTATCAGTATATTATAGTGCTAAAAATAAATTTGCTGAATTAAAACTATTTTGATTTTATTTAATTACTTTACCTTACTAACTTTCGGTGATCGAGAAATGATTAAAAAGTAATTAACATATGTATTTTTAAATAGTTGCATTTTCCCAATTATACAAAGGAAGACTATTTTCTTTTTTACATGCCATAACAGATATACCTAATTTGGAATTATGAAGTTAATTATTGGAATTATGAGGTATATTATTTATTCTACATTCCTTATTTTTCTGGAGTTTGAGAATCTTGTTATAATTTGCCGTGAAAACTTTATTTTTATTGCTTTTCATTTTATCTGTCATAAATATATATTTATCTCGCTTGGAGTTTTAAATCTTGTTGTTGACTTCTTTTGAATTGTTGTTCTAACAGACTATCTTTTTTGCAATTCATATTGGAGTTTTATTTATTCTACAAAGCTTTCGCTAATCCCCCTAAACAAAAAGAAACTTTCTTACTTGAATCTTTTCATTTTGAGGGCTCTGCCATATTTTGGTAAATTTATTTTCTAGCTATTCTATTATCTGATTCATCAGTCACCTCCATGTCTATGTATTTTGTATAATATGTAATTCCCCCACCCGTAACGTCTACATATTTTTTTAATCATACAAGGATTTTATTTAACTATCAGAATAAATCTTATAGCTCTTTTTTACTATTAAAAAAATCTTTGACCTGTTTAATGCACAAAAAAATAAATAAATAAAAAGTTATTGTTTGAAATTCAGTTAAATGTTTTAAATTTCAATTATTAATAACCTATTATGTTTTCAGACAACTGTCAAAACAAAATGATGGAACTGATTCAGATACAGCAAGCCCTGTAAAATCTGAAAGATCTCCTTCAATAATAGGATCTGGAGATGGTCTGCGTAAAAGAGCTAAAAGTGTGAAAGATTCATCATCGGAGAGCCAGTAAAAAATTTGTTGTCGAAAAGCCTAAAACTGGAACCAGGCTCACAGAAAAGGAAGGAATAAATTAGTCGGATCGGTAAGACAAATGTTTGTTGGCTGTAGTGTTTTTTTTAGAAAGGACTCTCCCATTAATCAGATAATTAGATGAAGTAATAGGCTATGAAGTAAATAGGCTATGAAGTAAATAGGCTATGAATAAAGGCAATTTACAAGCTTTTCAAATAGCAAATTTTTTTAATCTTATTTTGTTAATCAGATGTATAAAATATGCAGCTAAAAAAGAAGTAATGCTGCGCTTTGAAAATCGAATGCTCTTTTTTGCCATATAAGTAAAATTATCCATCTTCAAGTAAGTTAATAACTTTTTCCTAAGTAGTTATCTTGTTAATCTGATAATTGAAATAATATAGTTACAAAGAAAGTAAATGTAGTTACGTTACAACTTGAAAAGCTTTTTTTTTTTTTGCTATGACAAAAGTAAATGTCACAACTTTGTATAGTAAATATTCCTTTTTTGCGTAAGAGTTTTGTGAATTTGATAATTAAAATTGTGCATCAGCGAATGGATTAAGGTTTTTTTTTATTAGGGTCTTGGTTAACAGTTAATTAAAATTATAAATTTGTAAAAAAAAGAAATAAATACTTGAAAAATTTTATTTTTGCTAAATAGAATCTCGTTTATCTGATAATTAAAATTATATCGTAAATTAATTGGGGAAGTTTGAATTTTACTGTATAGAGGTCTTAATAGTTAATAATTTTTAATTTGAGGTCTTAATAGTTTTTAATTTGAATTTAATAGCTGTAAAAAAAGTAAATGTTGCAGCATTGTTGAGTGACAACTTTATTTTTCCTTGCTAAGTAAGCTAATGAAGCAAATATTTATCTACAATTCATTCATATATTCTAATTTTTTTCTGTCTATATTAATTGAAATATATATTAAATAAAAATAATATTATCATTATAATTATGAATAAAATTATTTATATTAAATATAGTTTATTCCAATGATTGAATAAAATACTTAAAATAATTTAGAATTTATATTTTATGTACTGTTAGACAATAAAAAATTTTATTTTCCTGATTCCAAAAAAATATAGTGTATTTTAAACACACACAAAAATGTATGATTTTTTTTTCCTTCCACCCTGTAGGTTAAAGCATCTGTGTATGTTGAGTACATGAAATCTTATGGTTACTGGAACACATTCTGGACAATTTTGAGTTACCCTTTGTCTACAGCATTCAGTCTTGGATCTAGTTTATGGCTTTCTGCATGGAGAAAAGATGCTAATGACCCTGTGAAAAGTGTCGATACAAAATTACAGAATTTACATTTAGGTGTTTATGGTGGACTGGGGGGTGGTGAAAGTAAGTATTTTCTCTTTTGTTCTAAGTTATAAATATTTTCTCACATTGTTATTAAGCCTTGTGCTTTTAGACCATATTATTTTTTTATGGAAATAGGTTATAATAACACTCGCTGACAAAATACACTCTATAACAATAAAATCGATGCACCAAGAAGCTATCGTCAGATTGCTTTGAAATTTCGTATGCATGAATGTTTTGAACAGATATGCAAATGATTAAAATTTGGTGTCCAATGAACGAATAGTTTGATCTCTGGCGCATCGGAACTGCGCATCCTGGAGACCTAATAAGGAGCAGTTCTTCAACGGTTGTTAAAACTTTCGGTTTGATTGCGATTCAGATTACCTTTCAACAACTTAAAAAATGCCTCACTACAGGATTCGCGCTCATTACGAGCAACTTTCAGAGTTTGGCAGAGGTCGTATCATTGGATTGAAAGAGGCCGGTTGGACAAATCGGAGAATCGCTCGTCATTTGAGTCGAAGCGATGCGGCGATTCGAAGATGCTGGCAAGGATGGGTGGAAAATGGCAGAGTTCAGCGTCAGGATGGTAGCGGTCGACCTAGGGCTACAACAGAGCGTGAGGACAGAGTGATTGTCCGAGCAGCTGTCACAGCGCCTTCTTCATCTCTATCAACCATCAGACGTTCAACCCAAACACCAGTGTCCACCATGACCATTCACAGACGGTTGAGAGAGCGAAATCTACGCTCGCGGCGACCGTTACGCCACCTGCCACTCACGCCTGCACACTGCCGAGCCAGATTACAGTGGTGCATGACTCGATCAGGCTGGAATGATGCCGACTAGGGATGTATAGTCTTTAGCAACGAATCTCGCTTCCAACTGTGTCCTGACGATCATCGAAGACGTGTTTGGAGACGCACAGGGCGAAGGGGAGATCCTGCCTTCACTATTGCACGCCACACCGGCCCTCAACAAAGCATGGTTTAGGGTACCATTTCCTTTGACAGCCGGACCCCTTTGGTCATCATTAGAGGTACACTTACTATACAGCAGTACGTCTACACCATCCTAAGACCTGTTTTGCTACCTTTCCTTTTGCAGCGCCCTGGGTGGATTTTTCAGCAGGACAATGCCAGACTACATACGGTGCGTGTTGCTATGAACTGTCTGCAAGCTTGTCAAACTCTTCCTTGGCCTGCTAGATCACCAGACGAGCATGTCTGGGATATGATGGGAAGGCGATTGCATCTGTCACGGAATATTGATGACCTTGTTCGACAATTGGATCGAATTTGGCAGGAAATACCGCAAGAGACCATCCGGGAGCTTTATCGGTCTATGCCACGCCGTGTGGCAGCTTGTATCCAGGCTAGAGACGGGTCAACACCTTATTGAACTTGTTACTGTAACTCTGCAATAAATTATTCAATTGTTCTGAAATTTTAATCGTTTACTATTCTGTACATTGTCTTCCTATCCACCAATTTTCGTTTCAATTGGAGAACTCCTTCTTGGTGCGTCGATTTTTTTGTTATAGAGTGTATTTTGTACATACCAAAGCTATGATGATAGAAAACTTTAGGTACGTGTTTTCGACACTGTAAATTTTCATCTGTGAAAACTTATCCCAACATAGAATCGAGCTAGCGTTTCGTATATGTTAGTGAATTGGAATTGAATAATTGCAGTGGTAAATCAGGGTGGCCACCCACCTGGAAAACCTGGAATTATCAGGGAATTTTTTTTAAACTGGAAAAAACCTGGAAATATCAGGGAAATTTGGATAAAAACCTGGAAAAATCAGGGAATTTCAGAGAAAAGCTGGAAATTTTTTCTTTGAATTTTTTTTTAATTTCACTAATTTAAATTATTTTCTAATTTTCTTAATTTAAATTATTTCATCCATTATACCCTCTTTTTTTAAACGGAAATGTATCGCCAAACAGTTGAAATATCATCAACTTAGCGATACTTTGCTTGCATCAAAATTTGCTCCATTAGAGCTCTGTTAAGCTAGAATGCCACATAAAATTCTCCCACGGTTGCTAAACGAATGCAGAAACCTTTGACCGATATGGGACTGTGCAATTTAGGAAAGATTCTGGTGGAGGTGGAAAAAGGGATAAGGATATTAGCTTCTGTTTTTAAATTCTGTCCTTGGGCTGAATCCATTTATGGCTCAAGTTTGTTCCGATGCTTTGGTGGTAATTTTTTTTCTTTCTATTTTGACAAAATTTTTTTGTATTTTTAACTTTATAAAATTCTCCAAAAATTAGTTGGTTATAATTTAATAATAATAGATTTTATATTGCACTCTTTTTCTGAAAGCTTTTCTACTCCAATTCAAAGAAATCTGGGAATTATTTTTTCTCAGCAAACCAACCAATCACACAATTTTTTACGATTGCTAACAGCAATGTTTGTCGATAAAGCGTTTCTGTTTCATTTTAACCTCTTATAACATATTTTTAAAAAACTTTTTTTTTTTACGAACGAACTATATATTAATATTTAATTTTACTCTTTTGTATGTCAGTATATGATTTTTGATTCAAAATTTTGTACCAAAACATTTGAAAAATAAATAAAAAATCTTGCCAAATTGTCAAAATAAATTATTTTTTCAAGATGATATGTTAACAAAAATAACATTCTGAATAAAATATTTTATAATATACACTTTTCTTGTACACATCCTACACTTTATAAGAAAAAAGAAACAAAAACCTGGAAATTTTAGATTTTTATCTGGAAAACCTGGAAAAATCTTAGAAATTTGAAATCTGATTTGAGTGGCCACCCTGTAAATATGCTACGGTTCTCCCCTAGCAGAATTTTATGTGTGATAGAATTCGATGAATGAATACCACTAGCTGATTCATTGCTGTTTTGAGAGAAGCCAGGGGAGCATTATTAAGACCACTGAACTTTGAGTGCTGATCCTTAGAGCTGTATTAAGCTCGCAGTCGCTCCTGTGTTGCCATTAGCTGTCGAGTGTAATTGAGACTGAGTAGCAACAGAGTGGTAAAAACAATGTTACAGTCACAAAGTAGAAAGCTAACTGTTCAATGTAGACTGTCTATCGAATTAAGCGTGTTCAAATCAAAGTGGGTGTGTCTATTGAGGTAGGCATGTTCGGGTCATGTCCGCGATCCACCAATGTGGGGGAAGAATCTTTCCGACGTTGTCAACCTTCATTTATGAAAAGGTACCCCAACATAAAATTGAGTTAACATGTCTTATATACTAGTGAATTATAATTGAATAATTGTAATGGTAAACACGCTACAGATCTGCCATTCCACAGGGATGATGTTGTATCATATGCCAGGTAGTGGCTTGTGAGCTATTGAACTATTTCTACATCTTTCAGATCCATCTTAACTTGGTACCATCTTAACTTGGAATTGAAGAAGACACACAGTGCGCATTACGAATCTCACCGCCATTATCAAACCACTGATCTTGAAATCGTCGGCTTTGATCTTCATGTCCCCTTGGACAACTACTTGTTGTTGCAAAAGTTCTTTACTCTTTTACATAACATGGGCAAAAACAGTTGTGTTTCACTAAATTGACCATGCAGAATATAAAAATATCCAATCACCTGCAATTAGAAACCAATTTGATGATTTTAAAAACTTATACAAGCTATTTGCTAACTTTAAATATCCTTCTGCTGTTCAGACTTTAAAATTAACAAATAGTTAATTTGACTAATAGATAAAATCTTACAAACTTATCCCACCCCCAGAAAAAATGCAATGCAAATTTTTAATATTTCACTATTTTCTTTCGCTAAAGTGGTCATTTGTGCATTTTAAATCTTCCTTGTAAATTTTCACACTTGTGCAGTTTGTTAATTAACTTTGATATTTTTGCATGAATAATTTATTTAAAAGTGTGTAACTTGTATTTTTAAATGATGGACGAGTGTATAGGAAATGGAACCTTATCCTATATATGACTATTCTGTTTTCCCGCTTACACCTCTACTACCACATTAAACCGGACAGTCAACAGCCTATCTTCTATAATTACTTTTAATTGATATTTGATAATTATAATGCATAAAAAGTACTTAATTAATATCTATTAAGTACCACATTCTAAATTGATGTGTTATTCTTTTTAGTTGTTTTCACTATAGTGACTGCCCTTCTCATGAACCTTGCTTGTCTTCGAGCCTCAACAATTCTTCACAATGACATTCTGAATCACATAATGCATGCATCGATGTCATTTTTTGACACAACTCCTTTGGGAAGACTGTTAAACAGGTTCTCTAAAGATATTGATACAGCTGATGTCACTATTCGATTCAACATAAGAATGCTACTTATTATGTCATCCAGAACTTTAGGTGCGGTCATCATAATTTGTTTGGAAACACCAATATTTATTGTGGCTGCAATTCCTCTTGGTATTTTATATTATTTCCTGCAGGTAGGCAATTTTATAGTTATTGGAAAGCATTTGTCTTTTTTTATTTGTTTCAATCGACTATTGATTCAGTGTTTTTGCTTTTAAAAAAAGTTTTTCAATGTTTTTATAGGTATGGGAACAAAGCTCAGGCCTCCCAGCATTCCTATATTTCCTATTAATCTGGAAAAATTTCTATATTTCCTATTTTTTCCTATATTTTCTGTATTTTTCCCTTATAATCCTTTCTCAACATCCGATTTGCGCTACCAACATACAATGAAGTAATCGACCAATTAAAAAAGTCTTCTAGTTTGTTTACTTTGGCTTTCGACAAAACCACAACAAGCCAAATTAAGAAGCAACTGAACATATATATCAGATTTTGGAGGGAAGAGTGCAATTAAGTTGTTAGTTCTTATCTAAATTCAGTCTTTTTGGGGCATGCAGATGCCAATAAAATCTGTTGTAATAATGTGATCTGTTTTAATTTAGTCTCTACTAAATTAAAACAGATCACAAATTGCCGCTAAGTAAACTTTTAATGCTTAATATTGATGAACCGAATGTAAATAAGCCAGTTGCTGAAGAATTAAACGAGAGACTGACCCTGGAAAATTTACCAGAACTTGTAGATTTTGGGACTTGTTCCCTTCACAAAGTTCATAACTCATTTTCTAAAGCCTTTATCATCAATATTAAGCATTAAAAGTAAACTTTTAATGCTTAATATTGATGAACCGAATGTAAATAAGCCAGTTGCTAAAGAATTAAACGAGAGACTGGCCCTGGAAAATTTACCAGAACTTATAGATTTTGGGACTTGTTCCCTTCACAAAGTTCATAACTCATTTTCTAAAGCCGTATCTTTTCTTTCACTTGATTTAGATTAGTTTTCAAATGACCTTTTTGGTTTTTTTTTTTTTATTAAGTGCAGCAAGAAGAGAAGATTTGAAAGAACTGCAAAGCCTTCTCAATTTAGAACAAAAATTTCTTTTGGTGCAACTTTAATTCTCGATGGCTTTTACTTGGTCCTGTACTAAACAGGATTATTTTAGTGTATCCTGCATTGAAGGAGTATTTTATAAATTTTATGTTCAGGCAATTCAAGGTATCTGAGAATTGTTAAGGAGTTAAAGATCCTGCATTTTTAGCGGTTATTGAATTTGTTTTTTTGTTTTTTACAATTCCAATTTTGGATTCGTATTTAGCAATTTTTCAAACAGAAGGACCTCTGGTGCATCTTTTGTACAACAAAACCAATGAATTGTTATGAAATATTATGGTCAAATTTGTGAAAGAAAACTTGGTTGCTATGAAAGAAGGCTGTTTTAAAGCTTAAGGAACCAGACTATAAGCATCTCAGATTTGAATTTAAAAAATTCCTTGTAATATTGACAAATTCTATATGAGAAAATCTCCCCATTTGTAATAATTTCTTAAAGGATATGGAAGTGTTGCACCTGATCATGAGGAAAGACTCCTCTGATAATGCTGTAACGAGACTGGGCAAAAAAATGAAAACTCGTCATCTTATAGATAAATAAGTTGAGACAATTGTCAGAGAATGGCAAACGCATCGTTTGGGTGGAGATATCAACAAACTCTGTGATCAGTTCACTTCTCTCATTCATTCTGAAATTTTTGCTGTTAAGTATGAAAGAGTGGACAGTTATTGGGCCAAAGTGCTCAAACTAACTGACAAATACACTGGTGTACAAAAGTACAAAAACTTATCCTTGTTGGTAAAATCCTGCCTCTCTCTTTCACATGGCAATGCAGATGTTGAGAGAGGATTCTAAGTCAACAATGCAATTTTATCACCAGAAAGATCTTGTTTGTCTGAAAAAGCAATTATTGGCCTAAGATTAGTTAAAGATGCGGTTCGGAGGCATGATAATAACATTTTAAATATTCCTATAACTTTCTTATTATTGAACTCTGTAGCTAAAGCACATTCGGCATATAAGGAAGATAAAGAAAAAGAAGCTGCCCAAGTTAAGATAGATGCTGAAAACGATCTTTATCAGAATCGGAACAATTGCGCAAAAAACAAAAGACAGAAGCAAAATAAAAGTAGCGTGATTTAAAAAATCATGTGAAATTCTTAAAAGATGAATTAAGTCTTTTCCAGAATTTGCTGCAGGAGAGTAAAGTCCTCCTACAAACAGCATTAAAAACTAAAGACTTGAATGAAATGAGAATTGCTCTTGCAGTCATGTAATCCGCAACTAATCAGGTTAAAATATTAACTGAAATGCTTGTTGAAGCTAATAAAAAATAACAATTCTGCATATATGTATTGATTCTAACTGAGTTGTTTACTCTTAGTATATTCTAGTGTATTATATTTCTATTTGTATATACTTTGTTCTAAATTTTACTTCAAGTTGCACTTATTTTCTATTGTATTCATTAAGTTCAAGTGTTGCAAAGATGAGGAGTTAACTATTCATATAATATTAATTAGTATTACCGGCATTATTACTAAGAAACTTTTTTTCTTAAAACTAATGCTATGTAGTGATGAACTTAATTCTTTTTATTCAGATTTTCTATTTGAAACCTTTTACTGGTTCTCAAAAAATTTTAAAAATATAATTACTTTATTAATTATCTATATATTTATTCTTTCATAAATGTATAACACTATATTCTGATATAAGTCTACGGTTTACGCAAATATATTAAGGAATATATTCCAACCTGTCCTGAACAAGAAAGCTAAAATTTAGCTACAATCAGTGTTCTTTTTTTGTCTCCAGTTAGATTGTCTAATCAAACATTAAGTTTTGAATAACACATAAATGAAAGTTGTACATGCTCTATGCAAATTTTGAGCTTATATTATTTTAAATTAAATATTTGATTCTTATATTATTTTCAAAACATTCCTATAAAATTCCTATAATTTCTTAAATGAATTCCTATATTTCCTATTATATTTTTGCTCTGAGTCACTTCTAGGCCTGTTAAATCTAAACAATGAGAAAAGAGCACCAAATGATGTCTATGGTGCATAGCATTAAAAAGTACTTAAAGGTGCTTATTTTCAAATTTTTTTTAAAAAAAACCCTTAAATGTGCTTTTTTCATTGAGTGTTTTTGAAAAGAGCTTAAATTTTCTCTTTTCCAAAATGAGATTTTATTTTTCTTTTACCATGAAAATTTTTGCCACGTATTATGCAAAACCCTGCTTTTCACATTGTTCTATTCAACGTTTTCATAATTCATTCAACCACAATCTATTTCAACGTACCGTCGGTACGATCATATGAAACCGTCAATCATTTTACATGTTTGATGAACTTGCAAGTCCGCATGTGCGTCTACAAAGCTGGGTTCGGAGAGATTATTGCACACTCATGTACAACTGTTGCATTTTGCTCTATATCAGGCTTCTATTCAAAATATTCTCTATATCAGGCTTCATTTTAACCCCAGAAATCGAACCGAAAAATCTATCTTTCTTAATCTCAATCTTTTTGTGGTCACTGATATAATCAAGAAAACAGTTCTTTGTCAAAAAGTAGTTATTTTATCATGATCATGTAAACTCTTTAAAAATTATTATCCATTTTGTTAATGTATATAGTGCTTAAAAATATTTTTAAAGTGCTTTAAAAGTACTTAAAAGATGCTTATATTTTGTTGAAAGATTTAGCTATGCACCCTAATGTCCCCTAAATAAACAAGACCATTTCAGTTCTGTAATGAAAAGACTTCTTCAGTATCAAATTATAGGATGAAAAAGAAAAACACTGAGGCACTGAAGAAATTACAAACAAGCTACAATAGGGAAAAAAGGATAGACTAATAGAGTTGGGGAAACAATCCAACCAGATAATCAAACAAATTTCTTATTTTTTATATTTAAAATTAAATCCTATAAAGTAATGTTGTCCTCGTGAACTATCTTATGGGAAATAATACATTAATTTCCTGCCTTTGAGAAACTGAGCTTTATATATTTGCTTGTGTATTTTTAGAAATTCTACATACCAACTTCTCGGCAGCTGAAGAGATAAGAGTCGACCACTTGTGCTCCTGTTTATTCCCATTTTTCAGAGACTGTTACAGGTGCCACTTGTATTAGAGCTTTTAGAGCAGATCAGCAGTGTATGACCCATTCAAACAACCTTGTAGATATCAATAATGAATCTTATTATCCAAGTCTTGGAGCTAGCAGGTCTGAAGAATTTTTTTTTTTTTTTTTTTTTTAAAAATTTTTTGCATTTAGTTATGTCTCAAATCTAATAGAACTATTTTTGAGCATTTGTAATTACAATATAACCATTTAATTTTCGTTATATAGTTCAAAGAATTTATAATTTGCAATATAGTCATAGATAAAGTGTTACCATAGTTTCTGATGTACAAGTCAACCCTGTATTCAAACAAGTCAACCATGTTGAACTTTTAAATGGTTGATTTTGGGAGCGTTTGGTGTACAAATTAATTCTACAATTTACATTGGTTAAAAAACAAAATTTGTAACCGAATGCAAAAGTACCTAATTTTTCTGGATTGGAAAAAGACAATTCTAACGTAATTGGAAAACTTCTTAAAACATTTTGTCTTTTCAATTTATTGGATTGTACCTAAAAGGATATTTTTCCGGCTTTAAGAGAAGGAAGAAGTGAAATAACTTATAGAATGGAACCTTAACTTTGATATGTAAAAAAAAAAAAAGAATTATTATATCAAAGTTTTAATTGTGCTATAGTAGCATTACTTTTATGTTTGTATTTACCTTACTTACTGTGCTAAGAGTCAAATTTCTGGGGGGGGGAGGGAATATTTATGCCCAAATGTGTTACCAGTAAAAAAGTCAAATCACAACTATCTTTGCAATTTAGGAGTTCAAAAAGTTGATTTATAAACCAGAAAATATATTAGTATACCTGGTTAGTATGTTTTTTATACAGACTATTTGTGCTCAAAATATGTCGGAAAGTAATAGGCTACGAACTCATCTGTGCTAGTTCATGTTTAAGCATAAAGGTAACAACACAAAAAATAATTTTTTTTTTATAAAATGTTAAAAATTTTAAATAAAAATATAGGAGGTTACTTTTAATAAAATTTATTAAAAAATAGATAAGATAAAAAATCAGAAAAAGTTAATATCAAATTAAAAATGTGTTTATCGAGTTAATTCTACTACTTGAAGTATCATAAATAATATGATATGAAATTTTCATTTGCATTTTGTGATCCATTAACACAAATTATTTGTAGGTGGTTGGCTATTCATTTAGAGTTTTTTGGATATACAGTTGTTTTCTTAGCTGCTCTTTTTGCTATTTTGACAAGAGATACTTTGAGTCCAGGTATTGCTGGGTTATCAGTCAGTTATGTTCTACAGGTAATATTTTTATTAATTAGTTCCATCTAGTATAATTCTCCCTCGTAGATTGTTCTTTTAGAAATTTGTAATTGCATCAGTACAAAAAGTAGCATTACAAGCTCTGATTGTTTGTTTGTTTTTTAATTAGTTTTGCTTTTCAGATATATTGAAAAAAATTTTTGATTTGTTTTAAAGTGAATTTTAATGGAAACAATATTTAATAACATTTACCGATATTGAAAATGTATAACAAAAAAAAATACCTCTTTTAACATCAGGAAAAATAAAGAATAATATCCTAAAGCCAGAACCAGTCATTTTAGTGCTAATTGAGTATTTTTAAAACCTCACATAACATATTCAGTTCATGCTCTTTAATTGCATCTGGTTGCTAAATTATTATTTTTTTTAAATTTTGTATTTAACAGTGCTGTATTACTAGTAGTAACTGTGCAGCATATTCTGTGCCTACAACCTGTCGTTATAGTATTATTTTAGCATTTTCGAATACTCAATTTAAATATTCTACAACTAAGCTCTTCTATTGCACATGAATGATAAATCATAATTTTTTCTTTTTTCTGCGCAGCATAAAGCATAACTTAATATTCAATGCTTACAGCCAATCATTAAAATATTATTTGAGATTTTTTAATATCTTATTTATCATGTTCTGTCTACCGAAGTCTTCAATGGCAAATGAGTTTTAAATTATTGTTTTTGAAATTTGTCTCGGTACAAAAACTTATATTATGAGTTTAAGCTTCAAGTATTATAAGCTTAAACTTCAAGTATTATAGGTTTAAGCTTCAAGTATTGCTTTTAAAAAATATATTTATTGAAGTATTAATAATGTTTTATAATTAATGTTTTAATAAAATTATACATTTTACAGTTGACTGGCCAATTAAACATGATTGTTAGGGCCACAGCTGATGTAGAGACCAACATTGTATCTGTTGAGGGTTGTATCATTGTATCATTGTATCTGTTGTTGTTGTATCTGTTAATAAATTTTCAATTAGAAAATATTAGACAATTGTTCTATGGGGCTGGGTACAAAAAAATAAATATTGATAGGAATAAAATTCCAAAAAAGAATGTAATTTTAAACAAAAACAAAAAAAAGGTTAATGACCAAGAGCTGACCACTTTTAAATCATTATCACTTTTACACCAGTATTTTATCCTCTTAGTGGTAGTACCAAAACAACATGCCGCAATATCCCTTAAAAATATAATTGGTGAAGTACAATTTTAAGCAATAACAAATTACGTTAATTTATTTTTACATACCCTTTCTTGACAAAACAGGATGAAGGAGACTTTACATCTAAAAAAAGTTTATCAAAATGAAGCTGAACTGTATATAATGGAAGAGTTTAAGTCAGGACATCAATGAAGACAAATTTTTGAGAGCACTATAAAATTCTTGTTTATTTTTGATGAGCATCGAAGAGCACCATTAGAACTACATCATCGTTACACTGCTGGTACATGATTGGTGGGGAATGGAAGCATCAGTGGTGATGCCGAAGCTGCAACGGCGAGCGTGATGTCTCGATTAGAGGGTGAGGAATGGAAGCATCTTAATAAAAGCAAATTTTGGAGATTCTTGAAATCACATTATCCCTAATCACAAACTATCTATACTATTGATTTTTTTTCAAACAGAATTTTTATGACACTATTTTGCTTTTTAAGTGTAAGTTCACATTTTAATTTAATGTTAGAAGCCAATTGAATAAGGAAAACAAAATTATTTTTAATTTTGTTATTTGATTTTTAGGCTAATTTGGCAAATGAAAAAAAATAAACCTGATCCATCATGGCCTTCAGATGGAAATATTAAGTTAGAACAGTATGCCACGAGATACAGAGAAGGATTGGAAATAGTTTTAAAAGGAATTTCATGCAATATTAATCCATCTGAAAGGGTCAGTATTTCTTTTTTCTAAGTACCTATGCACTAATGTTGAGGCCTTATATGATTCAGGGATGAGATTCTTCCGCGGATTCGCGGATTTCCGCTTTTTCTCAGATTTTTCCATTTTTTCCGCTAATTTCCGCTGAAATTGTTATTTGCACAAGTTAAAATATTTTATGAGGAATTTAATTTTCCGCGGAGCGAAATTATTGAAGTCCTCATTCCTCCATCTGAAGTTTCTCTAAAAATCATTTCCTTGGGATAAAACTGGTTGACCTTTATACAGGGATGAGATTTTTTTCGCTTTTGTCTCTCGAATTTCAGCCTTTTTATCAAAAACTCAGATTCTCTAAAAGTTTCGTTTTTTTTATTTATTTATTTATAAATATCCCGTTTTTTTTAAAAAAATTCAGTCGTTGAAGTCAAATTATTATATTTATTTACGATTTTCAAAGAAAAACAGAAAATTCAAACTACGTCCTAGCTGCTAATCCTTCCGCATGTTTACTTATATTAGCTATTTTCTCCGATTTCACGCACAGAAAATAAGATTTTCCGTATTTTTTATCCGTCGGCGGGATAGCTCGTATTTTCGTAATTTAGACGTCGCTGCTTCTTGTATTCTGGAGAGAAAGCAAACAAAAAAAGCGAAAAAAAAAAGAGGTGGATTTGTGGTGAAAATATTTATTTGCTCATTCAATTAATCTTGTAAATTTTTATTTATTGTGTAAACAAAAAACAATTCAAACAAGCCTTTTAGAAATCCCAAGTCCAGACTCTGCAAATATCTCGATTTTTATTCACGCGATTTTAATATCAATCATCGATTTTCGTATTTACCTGATTTAAAAGTTGCGCATTGCAATTCTTATTTACGCTTTTTAAATATCGTACATTATGACTCGTATTTACGAGATTTAAAAATCTAATATCGTGTTTTGTATTTTTGCATTTTTAAAATCGCGATTTTATTATCAAACATCGATTTTCGTATTTACCTGATTTAAAAGTTGAACGTTGCGATTCTTATTCAGGCCATTTAAATATTGTACATTGCGATTCTTATTTACGAGATTTAAAAAACCAATATCGCGATTTGTATTTACGAGCTTTTAAAACCCTATGTAGCTACGCGAGCTTAAAATCCAATGTCGTGATTCGTTTTTGCGGTTGTAATATCGCGCGATTTTAAAATTATGCATCTTGATCTAAAAATTACGCATCATGATTTGTATTTTCGCATTTTTTAAATTCGATGTAGAGTTTCATATTCACGTGATTTAAAAGCCTCATATCGGGATTTATAAGCACATGGTTTACAAGTTCAAAAATCGCACTTTTTTTGTCAAATTTTTGTTTATATATATATTCTTGGATTTCCTCTTTTTTACTTTCTGACTACTCTCATCCCTGATGATTGGCCAAATTCTCTTGTAAAAAAAATTAAGTTAGCCTTACTTTTTTTTTTTAAACAGTCATAAGTTTTTAAGTACCAGGACTACCAAACAGAGGGCACCACTGATAAAACAAGATGATAAAAACAATAAGCTCATTNTCTCCCTCGTTACTTGTCTCTTTTCAGGCAAAAGAGTTCTCTTTTTTTTAAAAACAGTCATAAATTTTTAAGTACCAGGACTACCAAACAGTGGGCACCACTAATAAAACAAGATGATAAAAACAATAAGCTCATTAAAATTTAAGGATCTGTGTTTCAACTTCACATTTTTTGCAAGATAAAAAATTTACTTATAATAGTACATATATAAACACGGAGATAATGTATTATATTGAGTCTTTATTTATACTGTATTTCCTTTTTTTTCCTTAAAATTTTCTTCTTAGTTTAAGATTTGATAGATATTTTTAGTAAAGGCATTTAAAAAAAAAGGCATCTTTTTTTGTAAAGGCATTTAAAAAAAAAAACAATTTTTTTCCACTTTATTTATCAAGCTTCAGAGAAGAAAAACATGTGTTGTGCTATTTCAATATTTATAACTTATGTAATGCAGATATTATATTTCAAGTCAAGCATATTAATTGTTTTCAGTTATTATGTTTATAAATATCTACTCTAATAATTCTTTAAAAAAATAATAAAAGTTAAATTTGTGAAAAATACAAGGAAAATGTTGCAATTTTTACATAGCATTTATTTGGCAATTAGTTTTCAAAGAAAAGTTATCCTGGAAATTTCCTCACATATTTTTATTTTTTGTTTATAAGGAATTTTTTAAGAACAAAGTAAATTAGAATAATCAAATATTCTAAAAAGTATTAAATTAAAATTGTTTTGAAAAGCTTGTGATTTAAATTTATAATATATATGTATTTACTTATGCTTGGTATAAGTGAAGCTGTGCTTTGTCTCGAAATTGAGATACCTTAACATCCATAACTTCTCTGACCGATAACTAGCTGATGTAGAAGCACTTTACTTTTTAACAAATGTTCTTACGTTTTACTAATTCTTGCAATGGAAATGTCAGGGGCTGTTGGTATTTAAGACAAAATTATTGGTATAAATATAGTTTTTAAATGGAACAATCTCTTTTAATTTTTTGATTAATCCAATAAATGTTATTTTTGCTATTTCTAAATTCAATTCCATATTTGATTACTTAATTTTAGTATTCTATAACTAAGCTTATTTTTCAAATAAATAACAAATAAGAGTTTTCCATTTTTATTCAGTGTGGCATTGTAGGCCGTACAGGTGCAGGAAAATCATCTTTGACTCTAGCTTTGTTTCGCATTGTTTAGGCTGCTGGTGGAAAAATCCTTATTGATGGAGTAGAAATTTCAAAACTTGGCCTCCATGACTTGCGTTCTAAGCTGACAATCATTCCTCAGGTATGTTTTAATTTTGCTTATATACTTATTAAAAAAATTTATATTTTCCTGAAATAGATAAAGGAGTTTTTTCCACTTTATTTACCAGGTTCTAAAAAATGCAATACAGTATATATTATAGTAATGTATAAAACAAAATGTTGTATATATTACAGCACTCTCCTTCCAATCGGGGAACCGGGTCCACATTTAACAGTTGACTTGCTACTTATGATTGCGACATTGTCCTCATTACGCTGTTGCTTCTCAGTCTCAATCACTCACAACATATACACTCGACTGCTAATAGTCAACATAGGCTCGACCTTGAACTTAATACAGCTCTCACGACCTGCACTAAAAAAGCACTGAGATCTTAATACAGCTCTCCCGGCTTCTCACTAAACAGCAATGAATCAACTAGTGGTACAACTGTGTATTGATGTTGCTATAAAAGTAGTTGTTTTCATCCAGTCCAAGAAAGATATCTAATTTAAATTTTTAACAAAATTTAGAAAATTTCAGCAATTTATGCTAACATTAACAGTTATCCTCTTTTTGTACTGAATTTCTTTATCTTCATTACTACTCCTGTGGCCCTTGGGCACAAATGGTTAAAGCAAAAGCTTCTACTTTAAGCATTTTTAAATAAGGTCAGAAATACCAGCTCACAAACTTGTATGAAGTGTATCAGTGTCCAGTATTAGTTATCCGTATAAAAAATAAAGTAAAAAAATTTTTGATCGCATTTATGCAATCACCCATTGGTCAAATGTTTTTTCTTTCTTTTTTTTCTGGATAGACTTTTATGAATGCCTCAACTGCATCAATTGATATGTTTGTCTACTTGTGGTTCAATAGGCTAGATTAGTTTTCAATATTTCTACACATATTAATTGTCTTTATACTTTTTTTAGTATTGGTCAAAGATAGTTAGTGTGCTTGGCCAGATCATTGCTACGTAAAAGCAGAGTTCTTGTTCTTGATGAAGCAACTGCTGCTGTTGATGTTGAAACAGATGAGCTCATACAATTGAAGTAAGCGAAGATAACTCCTTCGAGATACTAATATTTTATTTAACATATTTACATTTATATACAAGTTGGTTTGAATTACAAGAACATCATCACGGCAAGTGATGGGAGAAATTACTGACAGGCTGTCATGTGCGTGCTGGTATTTATACAATTCTAATATGATGACGTCAGAACTCTTATTTCAGTTCACTTCAAAAATAAGTAAAAACACAATTGATTAAAGACAAACAGATAACAATATGAAATAAACTTGATTTTACGATGAGCGGCGAACCTATCACCACACAGTATCCCCCCAGTGACAAAGTCACGATACCAATAATGATTGTTTAAAAACAATCATAAAATACAAAGTAGTAAATTCAAATATATGTCTTAATTAGGAAAAAAAATTAACTTGGAAATTGGAATACAATTAATAGATACAAAATATTTAGATGCTTTTATATTCCATACTCTTTAACAAAATATTTTGGGAAATGCACACGGCGACCATATTTTGTTACAATTGGCTTTTCTTCCTTTGTTGGAGATAATTTCTTTTCGACCATTGGAATTTTATTTATTTTTAATTTCTCAGAAATTTGAAAAGCTGGTTTAATTCTATCTATTGAGACTGTTATTTTCTTACCATGAAAATCAATAATAAAGGTTTTATCAGAACGTTCAATTACACGGTGTGGTCCGGTGTATGCAGGTGATAGTGGAGGATGAATTTTATCTACTTTTAAAAATATATGAGAACAAGATTTTAAATTAGGATTAATATAGAACTTATTTTTACTGTGTGCTGATGCTGGTACAGGACTTAATTTTCTCATTGCGGCCATTAAATTTGTGACATAATTTTCTGTTACTGGTGGAGATAAAGAATTTGCGTTTAAAAGATCCGAAGGTAGACGTAAGGAAGTACCATAAACAAGTTGTGCACAAGTTGCATTAATATCAGCTTTTAAAGCTGTGCGAATACCTAATAAAACAATTGGTAAAATTTCGGTCCATTTATTATTTTCCTGTGCTATTATAGAACTTTTAAGTTNTTTTTTTCTGGATAGACTTTAATGAATGCCTCAACTGCATCAATTGATATGTTTGTCTACTTATGGTTCAATAGGCTAGATTAGTTTTCAATATTTCTACACCTATTAATTCTCTTTATACTTTCTTTAGTGTTGGTCAAAGGCAGTTAGTGTGCTTGGCCAGAGCATTGCTACGTAAAAGCAGAGTTCTTGTTCTTGATGAAGCTACTGCAGCTGTTGATGTTGAAACAGATGAGCTCATACAATCTACTCTCCGTACAAAATTTACTGACTGCACAGTTTTAACTATTGCACATAGACTAAACACAATCATGGATTATGACAAGTAAGTTTTTATTTTTTATGATTTAAACTTTGTTGAATATTATTTCTGATGTAAGTTTATTTATCTTAATTGATAGAGCACAGATCGTAAATGTTTGAATCAATGAAAATAAAAAGAAAGAAAATGATAATTTACAATCAGCCTATATTTTCTGCTACTTTGTTCACAACTTCTTGTAATTTAAATCTAACATACAGGTGCAGTTTCTTCAAAAAAAGAAACTAAATTCAGTGTTTAGACAGCCCATTGAGGGCCATGGCCCATTGTGCCCATTCCAGTTATCTTGCCTTTGGACTTCAAGATGCAGTAGCAAATGTTCTGGATGGGTGATCAGCAGATCATTAAATTACATTAAAATAGCTTTCTCTAAGTCAATAAAAGTTCAATTTTTAACAATAATCTTTAGATGATATAAAGTTATGATAATTTAGATAAATAAAATTACTAGTTCAGAGAAAAATATGATTTTGGGTGTCGTTATAGCATTTTCTAGGATGTAAGGCTGACCACAGTATTCCCTCCTCTCCGAAAGTGTACGTTATAGATGAGAACTAAGAAAAAGAAATCTAAAATATCTAGCATTAATTACTTCAATTTCTTTTCCTTGCTTACCACAAAGAGTGTCTGCTTTTGCATATTTTTCTTAGCTCAATATTAAACTGAAATATTTTTAAAATTCTGCTTATTTGATTTACATTTGAATCAAGTTAATAATTAAAAAGCAACTATAGTTTCTCAATATAATTACGTTGTTTAAAATCGAAATAAAGTGTTATAAAGATTATTTATAAGACTGTTAAAAATTAGTTAGTGGCATTAAGTACCAAAAATAATAAATTGTAATTTAAATGGCATGCTATTCAAGAAACGTTCTCCACCTGTGCTCTGAAGCAATCCCTTCAGTAGGAATGGTAGAATTAACACTAAAAGACTTGTGTTGCATTGCTGAAAATCTCAAATAGCATTTGCGCCTTTGCATTGCTGCAAAAAGCAGCAACTTTGAAACAAATTAAGTTTACTTATTAGTAAAAGTCTGCTCTTATTTGTTTTGATTTTATTTATTTTTACTAAAGTGATATTAAAATTTTTTTTTTTTTTTTTTTTTTTTTTTTTTTTTTTTTTTTTTTTTTTTTTTTTTTTTTTTTTTTTTTTTTTTTTTTTTTTTTTCAGAATTTTATAGAATAAACTTGAATTTAGTTAAAATAATGATCAATATAAATTTTGTAATTTTTTACTCTTTTAGATTATTACAAATTAAATGTTTTGGTTTCATTAAAAACATTATTGGTTAAACATTCAGACCGAAAAAGAATTTTATTTCCTCCAGGTTAATTTGAGGAGAATTATGTGTCCACAATTCCCATAATCATTCAGTAACTAATTATTATTATTTTTTTTTTTTACTTTATTTTATGCATTAAAATATATTCTATTGAACTTAATTGCTGAAATTTAAGGTTCAAAGTATTAATAAAAATATCAAAGTTTACAAGATTTTCAAAGCTTAAGTTATAAAAATAGTTATTACCTTAATAATAGTTATAACATAATAGTTACAACTTAAAATTCAGTAACTAAGTCTTATAGAAAACATTTCAATCAATAAACTGAGACAAAAATTATTCAAAAATATTAATTAGTTACAGAATAAATAGGGAAATTTCAGATAATTCACTGTAGGTTCACACAGAAGCAGTGAAATAGTTTTTCTGTTTGAAGAGACCCTTAAGCATAATTCACTACACAAAAAATTTATTCTGTGATTATTGATGCCTTTATGATATTGATACAAGTTCATTTTAATATTTCAGGGTTATTGTATTAAGTAAAGGAGAAATTGTAGAAATGGATTCACCAGAAAACCTTCTTAAAAATGAGAATTCTATATTCTATGGAATGGCAAAAGATGCTGGACTTGTTTAATTGAAGAAAAAATACTTTCTTTATGTACATTGTGATACTTTTATATTTAAATAAATTTTACATCTAAACAGGCGATAAGTCACCTAAGATGCCTGTAATGCTGCTATACAGTATTTCCTCCGCTTTTGAGTGTATGTGAAAAATTTTAAATTGTACGACTACTTTGACTGCTCACATTCTACACAGAGCTGATTTTGATTTTTTAAAACTTACGGTTCTTAAAGTCTTTTCTAAATAAGAATAAATATTTATCTTTTTAAATGATGTATAAACTTAATGAGTTCGTTCTAGTTAAAAAAAATTCAACAAAAGGAAATCAAAATATTTTTGTAAGATCTAAATATTTTTGAACATGAAAGAAAAACTTTTGAGTTGTCTTTAGATGTATTTAAATTATTTCTTATTGACTACTTATTTACTTTTTTTCCAATATGTAAATAGGTTTTTATTTTTAAAAAAATATTTGAAACTCTTTCAAACTTGTTTAGTTTGTGACTAGAAATGTAGTTGAGTATATTTTGTTTTTTTCTTACTATTCTTTGAAGAAAATCGTTGATTTTTGACTCATGAGTTTTCGAATTTTATGAAGTTTTAGATGTATAAGCTGTCATTTGCACTTAGATTTAATATATATCCTAATTTAATATTAATTAGCTAACTAACTCCCAGCTTTATTTGATGTCAGAGTCTGCCTCTTGCAGCTTACTTAGACTCAGTGCCAAATATTATTGTTAGAATGATATAATTAACAGTTATAGTAAGTATTTATTGTGTACATTGTTTCAATTCTACTTTTGGAAATTTGATAATTACTATTATATTAAGTTGAGCAATTTACATACTTAGATTCTTAAATTATATGATTAATATAACAATTTAATGTAACAACATATATATAATTCAAAGTTACACAAAGTTAAACTACTAAAAATTGCTTTTTTTTCTCAATACATAGTTTATTTAAAATTTATGAAACCATGTGAGGAATTTACTAATGTAGAATTAAAAACTTTAAATCAAAGAGAAAGAATATATCTGAGTATAGTAGATATTTGAGTTATGCAACAGTCTAATTCCATTTTAGGAAATTTAATAATTATTTTATTGAGTGAAGCAATTTACTTACTTATGTTCCTAAATTATGTTACTGATGTTTGGAAATGTAACAATTTAATGTAAAAACATGTGTTTAGTCATAATTCAAAGTTTATTTAAAATTTACGAAGTCGCATGAAGAATTTGCAAATGTAAAATTACAAACTTCAAATTAAAGAGAAAGAATAAAGTAGTTTAAACCCTTTGCCTTCCTTTGAGTATTCTGATCCTTTCTAAACTTTAGCTGATTGCTTTACTGCTATACAAACTTGTTTTCCTAAACTATGAGTTAGAAATGCTTAGTAGGGGAAAATTGTAGCAAGTTGTAATGTATGGAGAATTATTTTGAAAAATATTTGTTGTAAATAAATTTAATTGAAAAAAAATTTATTATATTTAAAAGATCTTTCTCTCCTTTTAATTTACGCAAATTGTTATCATAATTGCACCTTGTTTTTTAATAACGTAAATGTACTCTATATTATATGGTTGCACAACCTTTTTGAAGGAAAAAAAGACCACAAATAAAAATTTGCTTAAAAATGTGGAAAACTTTTAGTTTTTAAACTTTAAATAAGTACCTCTACATTTTGAAAGACTTTAATCAAATAATTCAATTTTTTTCTAATTTTATTGAAATTAGTTTTAAAAATCGTTATAAAAAAATTTATATAACTTTTTCATGGTTGCTACTCTATGGGGAGAATGGGGAAAAACTGGAAAATAAGGTAATTTAAAAATCATCTGAAATAGCAGAAAATATGCAGATAATTTTTAATTTATACTTACAAAATGGGAAGATGCAGGTAACTGTATTTCTTATTTTTGTTTTTTAAAAAAATACCTACCTTTCAAAAGCAATCTATGGGGTATTGTTCAGCTTTGCTATCTCATTTTTATAGTGTTATTTGTTATATGTATGTTGAGATGTTTCTAATTTCTCTAAGTTTTCTTAAAGCTAGTATAGTTATCCTAATATAGCTCACACAAGACCACAGTAATTGTGTGTTTCCTCTCAATATATTGTGTATAGGAAAATCACTTGGAATGTTTTAGTCAGATTTGAGTGGCAACCCTGTTTTTAATGGTTAATTTTTTTACTGCTAGTTAGGGTCTGCGCATTAATCACTTGAGGGCTGCAGGTTTTACACCCCAATTATATTAAGTATTGTATTATGAAAATATAGTTTTTATATATGTGTGTTAGTTATAACTGTTAAAAGTTATGTTGCAGTTAAATGTTGAAATTTTCTCATCTACAGTTTTGCCTTTCTTTCAGTGCCTGAAGCTACAAAGCTCATTTAAAAAACAATACATCGCTCAATAACATAAAGTCATTTTCTTATGATTTATTATAGACTGTTTCATTTTACAAGGGACTTAAATGATCATTTTATATCTTGTAAATATCGTATGAAATTTTATTTATGCTTTGGACTGTGTTATTTTTTTTTTAAGTTTATTTTAAATGTAATGTGTACATATAGTCCATTTTCGACAGATATCTTTTAGAGTTTTGTAAGTTATACTTAAAATTTTTAGTTTGTACTTTATTAAGCATTAATATATTTGTTTAAAAAACTGTATTTAAATCGATCCATCAATTTTTCTCAAACTGTGTGGCTTAAAAACGAATCATTTCAGTATTGTTTTGTAATTTTTGTAAATTCAAATAAAATTTTTATTTAGAATGTGTGATTTTCTTTCTTTTTTTTNTCCATCAATTTTTTCTCAAACTGTGTGGCTTAAAAACGAATCATTTCAGTATTGTTTTGTAATTTTTGTAAATTCAAATAAAATTTTTATTTAGAATGTGTGATTTTCTTTCTTTTTTTTTAAATTTAAATCTCATTTAAGAATATGCTATTGCTTTTTTAGTTTTCTTTCACAACTCAACTACTTTTTTTTTTCTCTTGGCAAATATTTAATAATTTCGTTAAACATTTTTAGTCTAAGGTTTCAGTTTTTAAATCTTTGAAAATCTTCTTTTTTTTTCAGCGTTTATGTTGAAAGATTTTTTCGAACAATCGAATAAGTTTAAGTTCAATGAAAACAAACTAATAAATTGAAAAGAAGAAAAAAACAGCATTAAATCAGAATTATCCCAAAATAACAATTATAACTGTTGCATAATTGTACTGTATTTTTAGCCAAGCTTTAATCTAGTTGTAGGGCTTAGGATAATAAAGTGATTAGCCACCCTTTGTTTAAAGGTGATACTTTTGCAAACTGTTTATTAGTATTATATCCAGATAGGTATTTTAAAAAGTTCCAGAATTTCTGCTAATTAACATTACAATACACAGAAAAATCTTATTGCCTTGTATTGTTTTTCTCCAAAAACGCTCTTCTTAAAAAATTTAAGACTTGGCCTGTCATTATACAGTATACTCTCGATTTCTCGAAAACCTTATTATGTCAAAAAATATATTCTTCTCCTTGGCATTATATATCCACCTAATGCTAATTTGAATTCCTATGTCGAAGAATTTCTTGTTATGTCAAAAAAAAAAAATTCGAAATAGAAATTGAATTTTTTTGCAAAAATCACTATGTAAGTTTATTGTAAACCAATTCTTTTCTATTTGAGGCATAATTACTCATGTCTTACTTTTAAAAATAAAATTATCATTCTTATGTTTAAACCAGTAATTCTCAACCACTGTACCGCGGCACTTTTGTGTGCCGCCAAATATTAGAAATGATACAATAAAAATTAATTATAATGCTCTTCTTATTAGGAGTAAAGTTTAAATTAAAGAAAAGTGTATATATATATATATTACAATTTTTCCACGCTGTAACCACGTGAACATCTTTGTCAGCGATTGTCTTGTCTCTGACAATCTTAAAATGAGTTAAAATAAGATGGAAGTGTTTAAATTGTCTTTGACACACAATTTTAAAAAATGTTGAAATAAGTAGGAAATTTAATGACT